CCCTCAGCCCCCCTACTGTCGACCAAGTCTTTGCACCAAAGAGGTTAATAGGAGAAGAGCTTCGGGAGCGATATGCGAAGGGGTTATGTTGGCATTGTGACGAGCCGTGGAGTCGTGAGCATCGCTGCAGTAAAGGAGGACTTCTTATGATTGAACCGATAGAAGAAGAGGTCATTGAAACAAAATAAGATAAGTCCAAGTACTATCGATTCTACTAAGATTATGGTCACGACACCAAAGAATGTTGCCACCTGAAAGAGTATATCGAAGAGCCTATATGGTAGGGGCACCTCGAGTGAATTATTCGAAAGCACTAGAAACCCTCACCTTGAACTTATGGGTTGGTGGAAAAGTAGATTGATGTTATCATTAGTGAACCTAACTCGGTAGGGGGAGGGGGGAAGGGATAGCTTCTCGAGTCATAAGGCTTATGCCTAAGCTACCATTGAAAAGCACATGAGGATAGAAGGTGACCTAAAGACAACTTTCAAGGAGGAAGAGACAGAGTACTGACCCGAATGATGATGCTGCATTGGTGGTTTTTGTAATGGTGATTAATGCCCAGGTGAAGTGGGTTATGATTGACATAGATAACTATGCTAACATCCTTTACTTTGATGATTTTTGAAAACTTTGGTGGTTAACTAATGACATTATTTCAATGACTTCTTTACTTATGGAGTTTATCAGCGATTCTATCTCCCCTCTTCGGACTATGAATCCACATGTCACATTTGAAGATGATCCTTGCTCCAAAATAATAAGTCTACGGTGACAGATATCCTCTCAACGTACAACACGATCATAGGTCAACCAAACACTAAACAAACTGAGGGTCGTGGTATCGATTTACCATATGACGATGAAGTTCCCAATGAGGGTTGACATTAGAGAGCTGAGAAGCAACCAAAGGGAGTCATGTCAATGCTACCTAATGGTGTTCTCCCTATCAAAGAAAGCCTAACCTAAGGCACCACCTATGGACTCCCGAGATCTGGCCAAGTTTGTATCACATCCTGAGTCAATGGAGTTGCTGATTGAGGTGCCCCTAGATAAAGCCCGATTTGATCAAACCATCAAGGTAGGGGTGACCCTTCTCGAGGAGAGGTCGGTGTAGCTCATCAACTTCCTTGAGAGAATACTTAGGTGTTCTCATAGTTGCTAAGGGACATGCAGGGAATTAACCCTAATGTAGCTTAACATCACTTGAACATTTCTCTCAATGCTTGATTGCTCCTAACTACCAATGAGCAATTAGTGAGGAGGTAAACAAATTATTAGGTGCAAGGTTCATTGTCGATATGTAGTGCCCCCAATGACTTTTTTAATATGATACTCATTAAAAAATCTAATTGAAATTAGAGGATATATGTTGACTATACTAATCTCAACAAAGCATGCCCAAATGATAGCTACCCCTTTTCTCGGATTAACTAGTTGATTGATGTTATCTCGGATCATGAGTTTCTTATCTTTATAGATGCATTCTTAGGGTACAACCAAATCAAGATGACATCGAAGAATCGAAAACATGCCTCATTCATCATATATCGAGGCACATTGATACTAGGTTATGTCCTACGAGTTTACAAATGTGAGAAAAATAAACTAAAGGATGGTGAGTAAAATGTTCAAGCATCAAATCAAGAGAAACGTAAACATTTATATGGATGACATAATAGTGAAGAACAAGATGGTCGACTTGCTTATACCAGATTTGGGCAAAAAATTTCAAGTTATGAAAAAATTCAACATGCATCTCAATTCAACCAAGTATATCTTTAGAGTCAATTCAAGAAAGTTTCTCGAGTTCGTCATGTATCAGAGAGGAATATATGCAAACCCTAAGATGGTACGAGTCATATTGAAGATACATCTACTTCGATCAATAAGGGAGGTTCAACAGTTAACAAGTCGACTAGCAGTCGTGACCACACCCGGCATCGCCATCAGTGCAGGTGTGATCGCACTCGAGGGCCTATTTTGGTGCGGTCGGTTGCTCGCCCTCGGTAGTGGATCCCTCTCCAACCCCTGCTCGCTCCTTCCCTCTTCTCCTCCATGCGGCCTTTTGTTAGGATCGGAGCGGTACTAAGAGGGGGGGGTGAATTAGTGCAGTGGATTAAAACTCGTAAGTTTGAAAACGATTTCGTAAATGTGTAGAGATTTCGATTCGACAAAGAATGACTTAGTAAAAGTAGCTCGAGTAAAGTAAAGAGATGAAAGCTAAGAGCTTATTGCTAAGTAAATAAAGGTTTCAGAAAGTTAAACACTCACACATCCAAGGAACACAACAATTTTAAAGTGGTTCGGTCAAATAACCTACATCCACTTACGAAGCCTTCTTTGATAAGGCTCTCAACTTCCATTAGCAAATCACTTTGAAGGGGAAGGACCAAATACCCCTCTTACAACCTTTTTACAAGTGGTTCACACTCTTACATATTTTTCAAAGAGAAAGAGGGAGGTGAACATTTAAGCTATTGAAAACAAGACTTTACTAGACTTTTTCTCACTTTCTAACTTCTAAAAAAGGTGTATTCTCTACTGAGAATTGAAGGATATTTATAGACCCCAGGAAGATTCAAATTTGGGCTCCAAATTTTGAATTTCTTTTGGGTTCCCGGAGCTGGCGGTGCCACCATTTGTCGGTGGCATGGTGGCACCACCTGTCAATGTCACATTGACCGTTTACTGGCAGTGCCACCGCCCGACCTTTCGGGTGCTGGGCGGTACCACTGCCTGACCTTTTGGGATCTGGGCGGTGCCACCGCCCGTCCTTATGGGTCACTGGTTGGGCTCGCCCAAACCAGTCCATATTTGAGCCCAGTTGGCCCCTAACCATGTTATAGGATTAACTCTTAATCCTAACCTTAATTACATGCAAACTATGAAATTAAGACATAGTCCTAAGAAGGTTTTTAACCGGCAACGTCGAGTTTCCTTCCGCCGAGCTTTCCGATGGACTTCCAATGCACCATCGGATTTCTTCCGGCGGACTCCCAACAGGCTCCCGGTCTTGTGGCAAGTTCAGCGAGTCTTTGGCAAGTAGTCGAACCTTCTCGGTGATCTCCACGAACCTTCGACGATCTCTCCGGCGAACTTCCAAAAACTTCGGCAAGTCCCCGATTTCTTCTCGGTTAGTTCCGACAGCACTTCTGACGAATCTTCGGACTCTCGGCGAACTCTCGAACATCCATCGAACTTGACTCCGGTAGACTTACTTTATGTCTTCAAGCTATCGTAGTTAATCCTGCATAAAAGTAAAACACACTTCGATCTAGACAATTAATCCTAAGCATTTAATCAAGTTATCCGGCATGTCATTGGTCCCTCGACGCTTCATCCGATTCTTCGGCGCATCGTCCTCTCCTACAGCCTATTGCCCAATCGGCCAGTTGACTCCGCAACTCCGATATCCTTGGCGCAATGTCTGCTCTTCTTGGCCCGATGCCCGAATCTACGACCTGAAGCCTTCTGTCGATACTTCGACCAATCCACCGACCCGACGTCCAATCTTTTGACATGTTCCTCCGGCATAACATGATTTTCCTGATTTAATTGTCTCATCCTGATTGAAGCAACCTGCGTCACTCAAAACGCAGATTAAAACATAAACACATATCGATTAGTTTCATCATCAAAATACGAGATTCAACACCTTCTTCTTCACCGGCGCCGCCTGCACCGACCCTAGGCTCGGGTTGTCCGCCGCCATAGCATCGTCTTCATTAGACCGTGACATGCATCAATCGCAGCCCGCTGCCTCGCTGTCAACTGTCAATCCTCAGCTCCTACTAAGAGCTAATCGCTGTAGATTTCTCCACCACATCACTGCAGATTCCTCCTACTACAACTTCCTCCTCTATTGCAGCATCGTTGCAGCTACCACCTCTGTTGTAGCATCGTTGCAACTACCTCCTCTGCTGTAGCATCGTTGCAGATTTTTTTTCCTACTACAACATCACTGTAGCTTCCTCCTCTACTGCAACTTTCTCCTCTACTATAGCATCGCTACAGCTTCCTCCTCTGCTACAACTTTCTCCTCTACTATAGCATCGCTGCAGATTTTTTTCTACTGCAACATCACTGTAGCTTCCTCCTCTACTGCAACTTTCTCCTCAACTATAGCATCGCTGCAGATTTTTTTTCTGCTGCAACATCACTGTAGCTTCCTCCTCTACTGTAACTTTCTCCTCTACTATAGCATCGCTACAGCTTCCTCCTCTGCTATAACTTTCTCCTCTACTATAGCATCGCTGTAGCTTTCTCCTCTACTGCAGCTACCTCCTCTATTGCACCTCTACTACAGCTACCTCCTCTATTGTAGCTTTCTCATCTACTGTAGCATCACTGCAGCTTTCACAACAGCCGCAACCGCAATAGTCGTAGCTGTCGCCATCACAACCGCAGCAGTAGTAGCGATTTGCTCTTGCCCTACTCACGAAGCATCTCGCTCGTAAACTGCTTGCTTTGCATCGATCCAAGATTGGTATCATTGATAGGAGCATCATCTTGCGGGGGTATGATAACAGATAAGAAGATTTTAAATCTACTTGAGGGAAATCCTCCCTCTTAATTTATATAAATAGGAGGAGAATAACTTGAACGTAAAACAACTTCTTCAATAATACTCCTCAAAAGTATAGGTTAGATTCAATAAATTCTTGAGTCCTCAAAAGTATAGGTTAGATTCAATAAAAAAAAATACAACTCATCTAAAGCGAGGCTCGCTGTAGACATAAGAAATGAAGCCATGATAAAAAGTGTTGAATAAATGAACGAAGAACTTATCACGATTATCTTTCAATTATATGTCCAATCTGAAACAAATATATTCTTTGATCTTGCAAATACCATTAAACACTTTTTGAGATTTAAACTAAGGATTGCTTTATATATTTAAATCAATAAAAGTATAATATTATAATATTATTTAGCCAAGTCTTCTAAAGTATAACGAACAAATAAAAACTAAAAACAAAAAAAATATATTCTCCCGCTCTTTCCATACAATCCTCATTTGAGAATTTGGAATCAACTTTGAACAATAGTTTAAATCACCTGACGTACCTGAAACTAGCTAAGTAGTAAAGCAATATCAACAATCATAAAAGAGAGGCAAATATTACCCAAAAAAAAAACACACATTTCCCTCAAGAAAGAATAGGCCTACGGAAATAAAAAGCAAAAGGAACACACATGCAGAGATCCACATTTGGCATGTTTTAATTTAAGTTACTCTAAAAAATACATCATGAAAAAAGAACTCATGTTAGACTACATGCTAAATGTCAAAGCTAAACAAAAGTTGCTGATATTTGCTAAATCCAAAACAAACTAGTAGAAAAACATAATTTTGTTACAAACCAACCACAGGTTCACAATCAGAACAACAAAAGTCGCAGATTTAGTAAAGCATGCATATCCGCTAACACTATGAATTCATCCAATGGAAATGGAAGGATCACTCCTTGGAGGACTTGTTAATGAGTGACTTGTGAATGTGAGGTATGACTCCACCACCAGCAATAGTGCCCTTGATGAGGGTGTCGAGCTCCTCATCCCCTCGAATGGCTAGCTGAAGATGGCGTGGAGTAATACGCTTCACCTTAAGATCCTTGCTCGCATTCCCTGCAAGCTCCAATACTTCAGCTGTCAAATACTCCAATATTGCTGCCGAGTACACAGCTGCCGTGGCACCAACACGACCATTAGCTTGAATCCTCGACTTCAGTTGCCGATGAATTCTGCCGACAGGGAACTACGGAGCACACAACAACAATTTAGGATCATGCAGATATAATATTTTAATGAATTCTAACAACAAGCCTGAACAACTAACAGATAAGTTTTTTCCCTATTTTCCTTGAGAGTATCTACTTTACAGATAAGTTTCATCAACACATATGGTGATCATACAGAAAATGTAGCAGACAGATATCTCACCATGTAAGCATTAGGTGAGTAC